AGCAATCACCAAGGCAATGGGACAATTTATTTTTCAGCACAATGGTAGAATAGCTCAAAATGATGTGATTATAAAACGGTTCAAGAAAATATACAAATTCTAACTGCACAAAGATCAAGGACTCTCACATAGAACAACCTTCACTTGATTCCTACAAGTGCTATACAATAACATTTTTAAAAAAATAAAAACAGCTCAAACCAAATCTCATATTGAGCCAAATTTCTAGGGACATTTTGCCCTATTGAGAAACAAAGGGATGGACAACATTAATCTACTGACTTCAATTTTCATCCTAACTAGTGCATTCAAAATCAATAACCCAAAATAGATCCATTTTTCGCAAATCAAAATCAATAACCGTAGAGGAGCCAAATATCTAATAATCAACCCAAATGGACATTTCCCTCTCAAGTTTTCCCTTTCTCACTGATCGTTGGGGAATACCCAGCACAAACTAAATCTCATATTACATTTAATCCACAAAATCTAAAATTAGGTCCATTTTCGCAAAATCAATAACCCAAAATAGCAACACAAGCTTAGATACTCCTCAGCGATCAGCGAGAAAGGGAAAGAAGGCAGGAGCTTTTTGCCGCTGGAGGTAGGAGGAGAGAGAGAGAGAGAGATAGGAGCGCTTGAGTCTGATGAAGCCGAAGGTAGGAGAAGGATTTCAGATGTGATTTTTAGCCAGACCAAAACGACGTCATTTTGGTAAGGGTCAATAAAAAAAAAATTGTAAAAACCAGTTAAACGACGTCGTTTCACTTAACCGCATGTCAAGCGATTACCTCCTTACCGTAGAGGAGCAAGACCCGTGAATTTTACACCACCACATAGCAATATAAAGGACCCACAAAATATATCTATCCCCCGGCATAATAAAAATATAAAACAAAACAATGAAGAAAACCTTGTGTAGTCCGTCTGAACTTCTAAAGTACAGCAGTTGATAAACAAACCACTTCATCGAAGAAATGAGTTGCCGTCTTCAGCCAAATATACCTTTTTGTTGTAACCCATGATATTTGTTCAATATTAAGATTTGAAAAAAAACAAGCACAACAGTGCAATCAATCATCCTACAATATCATTAAAGAAAAGGTTAAATCAAAAACTCAAAGGAAGAAAATGAATAAAATAAATTTGAGTCACTACCTCGAGCAACTTTAATGTGCCTTCTTTAGGAGCTCTACCAAATCAAATCTGAAGGATAAAATAGGTAAGTACAAGAAAAAAATTTAAAAGGAAGAATTAAAAAAAAAACTAAAAATATCTTAACTAAGGCATGGTGCTTGATCAAAAAAGGCAATTAGGTCACTGAACAATACAAAAAAATAATCTAGAAAAGTATTGAATAAAAGTCTAATTGATTCTTGGAAATCTTCACCCACCATCTATCCATGGCAAGCCTATGATACAACTACAGGTAAACAAAGAAAAAGATAAAAGTCAAGCATGGAGAGGGATTTGTCTTGCCACTTTTCTATGTTTTAGCATGTTAACATGAAAATTTACAATTGATGTATATAACATCCCGTAACCAATCCCCTGGCTTGCAATTCTTGTTAAACTCATATATTAGAGAATGATTATGACCAATCCTTCATAGATCAATACCACATTTTGTTGTCAAACTCAAATTCATTTAGCCTTTATCTAATTGGACGAAAATGGCTGGTAACGAGATGTACTATACCTCAATAGTAAGCTTAGATCTAAACATATTGAAATATAGAATTAAATTGAGAGTAAGTAGTAAATCAAACCCCTCTCCATTCCTAACCTTTATCTTTTTCCTTGTTTAACCCTGTAGGTTTTCCATGGACAGAAGGTAAAGGGTGAAGAGTTCCCAAAATTTCAGTAGTGGTGACTATGGGTGTTATGATATTAGGAGCACGAATTACTAGGTTGTAAGCTCGTCCTCTTTAGATGGAAGCTATCTAACTAGAAAAACAACTAACCAAACCAAACATTATGTTCCAATCATTTAAGGTGAAGGGAAAAACAACTAAATGTAAAAAATACTTTCCTTGGGCAAACACTATTAGTATAAACATTGAAACTAATCAAGGATAGCGAGACAAGGGCATGAAATTTATAGACGATCAAATTTAGGAAAGATTTTTTTATAGACAATCAAATTTAGGAACGATTTGCAATTGAAGTTTTGTAATAAATTAGTCAATAGTTGGGTCAAAGTATAAGGATGATTCGTGGATGATCAACTGAAATTACAAACAAACAAAAAGCCAAATTAGAGCATACACAGAGCTCCCTATGTGTTGCTTGCAAAAGAGAATCCTTACATTACCAAATGAGAAGTATCATTTTTCATTAGGTCTGAATACCCACCACCAAATACACCACAAACTAGTTATAGTTGCACTAAAAATAAAAAGGATCCAAATCCAACTCCATAATTAAGATAATGACATTAGCAAAATCACATCTGCAAACATTATCGATCAAATTTGAAATTTACGTTTATCAACCAAACTATATAGGCTACCAACTATCATGTATAGTATTTTTCACCCAGCTAGCTAGCCCTAATAAAGCAGACACAAAAACCGCATTTATTAACAAACATCACTGAAAGAAAATGCAACAGATTTGATCAAACAAATAAGCCTAAAAATTCATACCTATTTTCCTATTCCTCTCATACCAATTGAACTTCCATTTCAAGAAGCAAGCCTACAATTGAATAGAAACAAACATTTAATCTCATGCTGAAACATAAATCATAAAAACCATAAAATAATATCTGCTAATAAACAAATATATTAACGCCAAGTGAGGCTTTCTTTCATAACCTGGTGACTGAGGGGGCATATATTTAAACTGTGTTGCGCCGTAGTCGTTGAATCAGAATCAGAACCCTATCCTACAACCACAAACTTTTTACTTTGAGGATTTTGAAGCAATTGGCTCCGATACAAGTCGGGAAGCTAAATTTGGAGAGTAGGAGAAAGAACTGGAAAGAAGAGAGAAGATAAGCAAGCAAGACTAGATTTTTCCAATGGTTTGGAATCTGCAATAACCACCAGCTTCACTTACTGTGCAGCTATCAACAGGATACATAGTAATGAAATCTTAGTTTTAAAGTTCTAATTTATACGGAAAAGCACACTTCTATTCAACCATGTCTTAAACAACGCCTATAACTCCTATTATATCCAGTGGAGAAAGGACCGATGCGAGAGAAAGAAGGACATATGCCAGAGAAAGAGGGACAGATGGGATCTGAGGACAGAGAGGCATGTTTGAAATGATTTTTTCATTATCTAAAGAGGGAGAGAGAGCATATAGATCATACCTGGTGTCGATCTAAGTGAGATGCGGCCTAAGAGTGATGAGCGATCTGAGTGAGAGATGCTGGAGGGAGGCGGAGGCGATGTGAGCTCACTAGGTCCCTCTGTAGACTGTGGGAGGCCGTGGCTAAGTTTTGTGAAGAGAGAGAGAGAGAATTCCGGTGGTGTACCCCGTGGTGGGGTTTGATGAGGAGGCTGCTGGGTGGGTTTTGTGAAGGGACTGTTGCTGGGTGTGTGACTGCGTGTCGGGCTTGTGTGAATCTGTGTTAGTTTGAGTTGGTGTGTGATTGTGTATGAGAGCAGAGAAGAGAGACGATGGAAGGTCAAGAAGAAACAGTAGAGAGAGGGTGCGAAGTAGAGAAGGGACTGGAAAAGCAAAAGAATGATAAGGATGAACCACACACTCCCACCAACCACTATCAGTTCGATTTAATAATCTAATTTAATACTCACCAACAACTCTGCCTTGTCTTCAATTCTAATTTCATAATCATTTGAATTCCTTCGTATTTACAATATTCCTCTTATAGACGTTTATACATGTGTAACACATAACCACTTTTTATTAATTTCTGTTAATATAATCGTTAAAAAATATAATTTTATTCTAATAAAAAATTATAATTTCATATTACTTTTTATTTTGTGGATTCGATATACTCTAAAGTTACAAATCAAGTTACCATTTCAATGTCTAATAAAATATAAATATTTATATAAAAGATAATATGAAAAATATTATATAAATATTTACATTTTATTAGACATTCAAATGATAAACTAGATTTTGAACTTTAGAATATATTGAACCCATAAAATAAATGGTAATATGAAATTATAATTTTTTATTAGAATAAAATTATATTTTTTAATGGTTATATTAATAGATATCAATCAAAATGGGTTACGTGTTATACGTGCACAAATGTCATAAAATGTATGAGTAATATTGTAAATGTGAAGAGGTCTAAATGATTAAGTGACAAGTATGAGGGGATCTAGGTATAATTTATTAATTTAGTTTTAGGTACACATTAATACAAATTTCTATCTTTGAGGGTGTAAAATTGAGATTTTTTATCTTTGAGGTGCACATTGATATAAATTTTTATCTTTGAGGGTATAAATTGAAATTTTTGATTTTTGGGAGTACATATTGATATAAATTTCTATCTTTAAGGGTATAAATTGAAATATTTAATCTTTGAGGGTATAAATTGAGATTCAAACAATTTTTCGAGATAAAAATGAGATTAAATCTTAGAGTTAAATACTCTTTATTGGGCGACTTATTAGACGGGTCAGACCCAAATTTGGATATTACCCGCAATCTAATCCGCCACTCAAGCCTTTCCAAGTTTACTGAGTTGGACAAACCTACTGGACAAAATTTTTTAATATATATACACAATTTTATTTAAAAAAAAATTAATTTAATATTTTTTAATTAAAAATAGAGTTAAAATGAACAAAAATAAAATAAAATAAAATAAATAGGGTCAAAAGTTCTATACATCAGGTAGTCCCGTGGAATTCCAACTGCATTGGTTGGATCAAACTTGGAAGATTGCTCTTGAAGATCAAATAGGGTCATATGAGTTATAAGAAGACACATTATGGTATAGAAATAGAACATCCCCCTTCTGTTGAGAAACACGAAGACATGAGTAAGTCACATGAGAGTGCACATAATTTGTTCTGTATTTCATGTTAGTTGCATTTTACAATTGCCAAGTTCTCCCTTGGAATGATAACAAGTGAGAGAAAGCAAAGCTTATTCCAAACAATAAACCAACCCTTAAAAGAACAACAATGACGTGCACACCACCTTTGTGCACCACCACATGACATGAAAGTAAGTGGGGGCGCATTGCTAATGGTGATGGTGCAGAAAGAAGGTGAGTATAGCATTGTTGTTAAAAGAAGAGACACTGGCTTTGCTGATCCCTATTGTGGCAACCATACAATTTATGCTCATAATATTCAAAGGTTTTGTATGAAATAAGTAAAAATACAAAACGCAGAGCGGAAAAACTAGTAAAACAAGGAAAGAGAAAATTAAAGCCTAGAAGGCATTCCTCCGGCAACCACCAAAGTTTCTCCAGTTATGTAAGAAGCATCTTCAGAAGCCAAAAAAGCAGTGGCAGCAGCCATGTCTTCCGTAGTTCCAAGCCTGTTGAGCATTGTCCTCTCCTCAATGTCCTTCCTCTACAAAATGCCCAACACAACGTCATTATAAAACAAAAAACATGCACAGCGTATTCGAGAGAGAGCGTGTTACATCTAAAGCATTACAGAACTTACAACAGCATCATTTTGTGTGATATATGCTGCAAATTTTGTGGGTACAAAGCCTGGTGCAACACAATTTACACGAGTATATGGGGCCATCTCGGTGGCAAGGGCCTAATAGAAAGGTCAAGGGAGAGATTAATGCATATCTAAAAACTCAAATACTCAATCAGTTGCATTAACAAGATTTTCAGAACCTTATGAGTACCTTGGTAAGACCAAGAAGGGCTGTTTTTGTTACCCCATACATAGCCATGGAAGCCGGAGGTTGGTAAGCACTAACAGAGGAAATGAAAATAACCGATGACCCCTTCTTCAAGTGAGGTGCTGCATCCTGTAATTTAGGGAAAAAAGAAAAAAGCAGGGAGATCCTAACATGTTACAGCAATAAACATTAACAAACAGATATTATGAATTGTGACAATTGAAACGGCAATCTAAAGCAGTACTAGAAATGGTCAAAACAACTCGTGTTGTTGTTCCCATCTTAAACCATGGCAGCATGTAACAGAGATACATGGATTATATGCCAAGCCAACCAGCCATTCTTATTTTGTACACTGACTTATTTATCATCATATGGATTACAGACAAACCTGTAGAAGAAGTATAGATGTCTTCACATTAATATCCCATAGTTTGTCAAGCACTGATTCTTTAGTTTCCAAAATGGCATCAACGGAGGGATTGGCAGCAGCATTGGAAACAATCACATCTATTTTTCCAAATTTCTGCAACCAAGCCAAGTTCCATTTTAACAAAATTGAACCAGAAGTAGAAAAATCAACTTAAATCAACCGCTACCAAAACAGAAAATAATATATAATATTAACCCATGCTAATAGACTATTCAAAAACCACATAAACCTAAAAAGGCCCCAAAAAGAANGGAAGTAGAAAAATCAACTTAAATCAACCGCTACCAAAACAGAAAATAATATATAATATTAACCCATGCTAACAGACTATTCAAAAACCACATAAACCTAAAAAAGGCCCCAAAAAGAAAGAAAAACAATTTTCTTCGCGGTGCTTCTTTACATGGACTTCTCAAAGTGTTTCTCATCTACCACTACCATAGATCTCTAATCTACCTAGAAACAATTGACTGTTTATCAAACATTGAGAATTCAAATTTTAGAAGTCCCTTTGGGTCATTTTCATACAAGGACACGAGCTGAAGGTTGTCTCATATTTTAGGGTAAAACTAGAAGAATACATAAATGTCATAAATCAATAGGCCGGCCAGACATTGATGAGTTTTTGAAGGGTCAAATGTATTTGTGTTCTGTGGGAAAAAAAATCATTTTAATACGTGGTTCTGCTATTGGTTATCGATTGTTCGTTAGTGTTTCATCATCTTATTCCATAAGTTGTGGTGTATTTTGCTAAGTGGGGGAGTTTGGAACNTTTTTAATCCGTGGTTCTGCTATTGGTTATCGATTGTTCGTTAGTGGTTCATCATCTTATTCCATAAGTTGTGGTGTATTTTGCTAAGTGGGGGAGTTTGGAACAATCAAAGAGTTGAAAACTTTTTATTATTCGATGTACTGAATACGCACTTGTAATAAAGATTACTTTCGGGAGATCACATTAATTATATTGAGGTATTAGTGCTCTACATTGAGGTATTAGTGAATCATTTAACGGTTTTTGCATCGCACTGGACCCAAAGAGGATCGGGTTCAGGGCATGACACAAATCTGAAGCACACAAGACCAACTTTGCTTTGTCAAAGAACATGAATACCAAACTGTCCAATTTTAATTCTTGGTTCATCCANATTGAGGTATTAGTGCTCTACATTGAGGTATTAGTGAATCATTGAACGGTTTTTGCATCGCACTGGACCCAAAGAGGATAGGGTTCAGGGCATGACACAAATCTGAAGCACACAAGACCAACTTTGCTTTGTCAAAGAACATGAATACCAAACTGTCCAATTTTAATTCTTGGTTCATCCATGGCAGATAACAAAATAGCTTCTTTTCTCACCTGAATGGTCTTGTCTATCAGATTCTTCCTTTGTTGTGCATTTGACACATGACAGACCACACCCAACGCTTCGATTCCGCGAGCTTTAAGCTTTTCCACTGCTTCATCTACGTTTTTCTGCAAACCGTTCAAAACCCAAACACAAAGGACCCCATCACTGACTGATATGATGTATATACGTATACATCCATATAAGTAATGGAAATTGAATTAAAGAAAAACACGAAATCCGGAACAACGAACGGTTAATTTTTTTTCTTCCTAAAACTAGAACTAAGAAATGAAAATTTCATGGACACCCACAAGCTACATATAGGTATATGTATTTAAGAACTCGAATTCGAGAAAAAATCAGTAGACCCAGATGATGTAAAGTCTAAATTCTTCAACGAAAAGTCGGAGAAATGAAAAATTGGGCACTTGCGTACCTGTTTCCGAGAGGAGACGACAACAGAGGCTCCTTCCAAGCCAAGCCGCTCGGCGATGCCGAAACCGATGCCCTGAGTTGAAGCCGTGACAATAGCCACCTTCCCTTCAAATCTCTTCCCAATCTTGTCCATTATTCGTCTGTTCGTTTAATTGCGTTTTGCTCACACAGAAGTCTCAGACCTTGCGAGTAAGTAACTATCGAGGGTGTGTTTTGGATGATCGGAAAGAATCGGATATGATGTCAAATTTATATCCATTCTCGTTCATGCCTAACCCATCTTTTACTTATATGGGTTTTGATACAATGACATATCATGCCTTATCCATCGTTTGGTAAGTAATTTTTTATTTTTGTAGGCCCATGGTTACGAGCATGTCAAAAATATTATTTAAATTATTTTGATGAGCATACCTTTCTCTTGGCTGTCTCACTCTCTCCTCCTCTCTCTCTTGCATAGATATTGATGAACAANTATTCTATCCTTTAGACCCCTTTATCTCCTCTTTAAATCTAAACATAGGTAGTCTTCTTCGTCAAAAAACAGGCGATCTTTTTCGTCCAAAAGCAAGCAGTCTTCAACTTCCTCTCTCCACTCTCAGACCCTTATCTCTCCTCTCTTCAATGCACAGGTGAGCCAAAAGCAACTCTTTTATCGCATACCTTTCTCTTGACTGTCTCACTCTCTCCTCCTCTCTCTCTTGCATGGATATTGATGAACAACTAGAAGAAAAAATAAATTGACTTAAGTGTTGTTTATTGTTAATTTTTTTGTAAATTAGGGATGAATTCAAAAATAAATTGCACTGATTTTGTTTTACCACTAGTACCCAACCCCACCCCACTGTCGTAATAGTATTCCAGTCAAACAAAGCGAGAGAGACTTAAATCTTTACCTTCTGGTCTTTTTCATTGCCTTCACAGAGCTCTAAACCCAGATGTAGAAGATAGAGAGTGAAATATTATACGAGAAATAATAGGAGTAAATATGTTATTACCCATAAAAAACTTGTCGACTAGAATTGAATTCTAAGGTGGAGGTAGGTTAATTTTAACCCATCTAAGAAGGTTAAACTCTATTGTAATAGCCGGGTCAATGTTTGACCCAGGATTGATATCCTTGCTCAGTTTTAACTTCTCAAACAAAAAATTTGTGGGACCTATTGCATTAATAACCTATTCTTATAGGACTTAATCCACCTTATTCNTGACCTTTGACATGTCATGAACTTCATCTATCTTCGGGCACTGAGCGGTAGACAATCTGAAATGATTCGCCAAAGGTGTACTTACTGATTTTGCATAACTCATGCTGAACCTGTCCAACACCTTCTCAANAATTTGTGGGACCTATTGCATTAATAACCTATTCTTATAGGACTTAATCCACCTTATTCCACTATCCATACATACCAAAGGCAAGAGTTAATCCAAACTTAGCGACAAAAAATAGCAGCTCAGCCCTCAGCTTTTGACTGTTGGATTGCTTCTCTTTCTTGAGATTCACGCCATAAATGTTTGTAGATAACAGCCGAAAAAAAGTGGGTCCCATCAATTGTGGGTCCCATTACTTGTTATAATTTTTTTCCAAGACCATCGTGGGTGTCTTCGAGATTTAAACGAAACTACAAAGAGAAAGTGATTGAATTTGAAAGGTGTAACCCAAAAAACTACACGAAGGTGACAACCATTAGTAGTCTAAGCTCGATTGATATACAATTTCCTCTATTTCTTTTTCATTTTGAATTTAAATTTATAGGCAAAAATGATATTGCAAACATAAGGCTCAGCTAAGGCACAGGAGAGTTAAGATCGGGGTTAAATAAGATAGATTAGCAAAATAAATCAGATATTGTTGAACTGCTTGTCCAACGCAGTTAAACGAAACTAACATGCCATCAGCCAGATGTGAAACGCCCTTGATGACTAGCAATGATATACAAGTAAAGGGTATGGATGAAGGTGAAGATGGAGATGTGTTCTTCATATTGAGAGAATATTATCTTCACTTGGCTTAGGTTTGAGACGTGAGACACGAACAATCTTTATCACACCACCAAGATATTCCCTGCAAATAATTGCCTCAACCACAGACACCAAATTAATTGTCATCGTGCATGTTTGTGTGCGCGCCTGAATGTGGGGACACACACACACATTCGAACAGAGCACCTGTTGTGATCATGCAGTAATTATGGTGAATAGTAAAGAATCAAACAATTAAGAAAGCAGGAGAAAATAACACACAGAGATTTACGTGGTTCGGCAATATGCCTACATCCACGAGAGCGAGCGGCCGTTCTTTTCCATTATTGAAGTAAGGTTACATCTTAAATATTTATATAACCATAATATGAACGTATTTACAAAAATACCCCTGTACCGTACTAATCAGCGTCCCCTATATATAAATCCCGCAAGGCAGATGCCGTCGCGGGCTCCGCTCCGACATCTTCCTCCTTGTCATTATGCACACAGTAAATATGAGTCACATATACTCTAACAATCTCCACCTTGGCAAATATTTACCCCTTAGAAGAAAAAAAAGAAGACATGTATTCGAGAACTCCACTGGGGACGCTGAGTTGAGGTATCTCCCATCTAGCAACTAGAGACATTAATCAAGTCCAAGCAGTGCTTGAACTTGTCTGTAGTAACAGACTTTGTCAACATGTCTGCTGCATTCTCAGAAGTGTGAACTTTCTCAAGTAATAGTTCACCAAAAGAAACCAGTTCCCTGATCTTATGAAACCTCACATCTATATGTTTGGTCCTCGCATGATACACCTGGTTCTTTGCCAAATAAATGGCACTCTGACTGTCACAATGCAATTGAACTCCACCTTGCTGGGCACCCAGCTCCTTGACTAAACCTGTAAGCCACAAAGCCTCTTTGGCAACCTCAGCTACTGCNAGTAATATGCTCCTCGCATCTAATTGCACTCCATAATAAAATGATGAATTTTTAACTGATTCCGTTTGAAAACACTTCAACAAACTACCCGCCTCACCATATCTCAAGTCTCGTTACCTCCTTTCACAGAGGTAATTCTTTTGGTCTTGACGAGTAAAACCTAGACTTTCCTTTCCTCCTGATTGAGTACTTAAAAGTTCATGGGAAGTCTTAAGTGATAATCCACAATCTGCGGCCATATCAATAGTAATGCTTTGTGCTTCGATAACCTTCCGTTGGGATGACATCATATGCATACATTCATCAAAGTGCAAAGGATAGTTGTGGTTATCATCTCATTTCACCACAACAAATTTTTCAATTTCTCTATAAAGAGATATGATCGTGTCTCTTCTCGAGATTTTCTTATTTGTCACTCTCTTTTATCACGAACCCTTTGACCTTGTTTACAACAAACATATTTTCTATAAATGACAACGTCATCTTTCAAACTTTTATTTTGAAAATATTTTCTCACGCTAAATCCCACAAAACCTCCATAATTATTGTAAAACACATAAGCATCTTCTTTCTGTATTAAATTGCATATCAATATGAGATCTATTCTCAGTCGCATTAACTCCCAAATTATTCATCATAGTATTCTACAATAAGAAATTTAATTAAAATGACATTATGTGGTGAATGAAACACATAATATATGCATGACATTAAAAAAAAACAAAAATCAAAGAAGTTTGACAATCTGACTCAGAAAATCGGCCATCTTCTGAAAAACCCAACTCAAATGTGTAGACCCCATGATTTTCTGGGAACTCATATTTTTTTAATTTCAAGTTTTCCAGTAGTATGTTCTAAAAAATTGATCTGATTCAAAACTCAATTGAATGCCTCCATACATATATGCATATATTGGGAAGCTATATAATCATAAAATATCTCTATTAATTTCATTACAAAAATAAACACATATGAAATCTGGTTTAGCTCTATTAATTTCATAATGAAACATACACATATGAAATCTGATTTTGATACTGTACCATCATTTGATGAAGAGGTCTGGCTTTTGTCGTTCACTACATTTGACGAAGAAGAAGAGGGAGAATGAGTAGTAGAGAAATGTTGTGATCGTGCAACAATTATGGTGAATAATAAGGAATCAAACAATTAAGAAAGTAAGAGAAAATAACACAGAGATTTACGTGGTTCGACAATGTGCCTACATCCACAGGAGCGAGCGGCTGTTCTTTTCCATTATTCAAAGTAGGGTTACATCTTAAGTTTTTATATAACCATAGTACGAATGTATTTACAAAATACCCATGTACCGTACCACGGGGGCGTTGCCCCCGCACCCCTAACTAATCAGCGTCCCCCCTATACATAAAATATATATCAATCCCACAGGGCAAATGTCGTCGCGGGCTCCGTTCTAGGATCTGCCTCCTTGCCATTGTACACACAACAAATATGAGTCACACAAAATCTAACAATCTCCACCTTGGAAAATATTCATTCCTTAGGAGAAAAAGAGAACATGTATCCGGGAACTCCACCTGGGACGCTAAGTTGGGGCATCTTCCATCAAGCAACTAGAGACATTAATTAAGTCCAAGCAGTGCTTGAACTTGTCTGTAGTAACAGGCTTTGTCCACATGTCTATTGCATTCTCAGAAGTGTGAATTTTCTCAAGTAATAGTTCACCAGAAGAAACCAGCTCCCTGATTTTATGAAACCTCACATCTATGTGCTTAGTCCTCGCATGATACACCTGGTTCTTTGCCAAATAAATGGCACTCTGACTGTCACAATGCAACTGAACTCCACCTTGCTAGGCACCCAGCTCCTTAACCAAACCTATAAGGCACAAAGCCTCCTTGGCAGCCTCAGCTACTGCCATATACTCTGACTTAGTAGTAGATAGTGCAATTATAGGCTGTACCTTGGATTTCCAACAAATAGGTTATCCCACAAGAGTAAACACATAACCTGTGGTAGACCTCCTGTCATCCAAGTCCCCTGCATAGTCTGCATCCACATATCCCATAACTGAAGGGTCACTTTGTTATCTGCTAAACATGATGTCATAGTCTGTAGTGCCCCTCAAGTATCTGAAAATCCACTTGACTGCATCCCAATGCTATCGACCCGGATTTGAAAGAAACTTGCTAACCACGCTGACAGGTTGTGCCAAATCTGGTCTTGTACAAACCATAGTATACAGCAAACACCCCACTGCACTAGCATATGAGACCTTTGACATGTCATGAACTTCATCATCTGTCTTCGGGCACTGAGCGGTAGATAATCTGAAATGATTCGCCAAAAGCGTACTTACTGGTTTTGCATAACCCATGCTGAACCTGTCCAACACCTTCTCAACATAGCTATGCTGGGATAGCCATAATCTCCTGGAAGCTCTGTCATTGCGAATCTCCATCCCAAGAATCTTCTTGGTCGTACCCAAATCCTTCATGTCAAATTCTCTGCTCAACAAAGTCTTCAATTTGTTAACCTCACTCATACTCTTAACAACAATCAACATATCATCCACATAAAGTAATAGAAAAATAAATGAATCATCATCAAGGCTTTTCACATAGACACAACAATCATACTCACACCTTTTGTAGCTAATCCGAATCATGTAAGAGTCAAATCGCTTGTACCACTGCCTCGGAAACTGCTTCAGCCCATAAAGTGATTTCTGCAAATTACAGACTAAATGTTCCTCTCAAGGGAGATTGAACTCTTCTGGCTGTACCATGTAAATATGTTCCTCCAAGTTACCATGAAGGAAAGCTATCTTTACATCCATCTGCTCCAACTGCATATCTGAATGTGTTACTAATGCCAACACTGTCCTGATGGAAGTGTGTCTGACCACAGGGGAGAAGATCTCATCATAGTCAACCCCTTTTCTTTGTGAGTAACCCTTTGCTACTAGACGAGCCTTGAATTTTCCCGCCTCTTTTTCTGATACTGCTTCTTTCTTCTTATACACCCATTTACACCCTATCCCTCTCTTCCCCACGGGAAGCTCCACCAACTCTCATGTCTGGTTCTTATGTAGAGACTCTATCTCCTCCACCATAACATCCATCCATCTACTTTTCTCTTGGCTTTGTACTGCCTCCTGAAAAGTTGTAGGATCCCTGCTACTAGTAATAAGCGTATAAGAAACCAAATCTTCAAAACCATACCTGGTCGGCAGCTTGATATTGTGTTTAGGTCTGTCTGTGGCTACACTGTGATGCTGCTGATCACCTGAGATAGAACTCTCTACATGCTGAGCATCCTCTACTCTACCATGGTTCTCTAGCTCCACCTGCACCACATGTTCATTAGTGCTACAGTTTTCTGACAATTATTTCTCTTTTTCTTGAGTACGCTGCAACATGGATTTTTCATCAAAAACCACATCTCTGCTGACCACCATCTTGTTTGCCTTAGGATCCCAGAGCTTGAAGCCTTTCACTTCTTTCTGATATCCCAGAAAGATACACTGTCTAGACTTCGCATCAAACTTCGACCTCTCCTCACTAGAAACATGTACATAGGCTGGACATCCGAACACTCTCAAACCATAGTAGGCTACCTCACTGCCTGTCCACACCTCCTCTGATACTTTCCCATCTAGTGCTGCCCTCGGTGATCTGTTAATCAAGAAACATGCCATATTCACTGCCTCTGCCCAGAAATTCTTTGCAAGCCCTGCATTCAACCTGAGACACCGAGCTTTCTCGGCTATCGTTCTGTTCATCCTTTCCGCTACACCATTTTGTTGTGGTGTCTTGCGGACTGTGAAGTGTCTCTTGATCCCATGCTGCTCACACAACTCCTGGAACTTTGAATCTGTGTACTCAGTACCATTATCTGACCTGAGGCATTTAATCTTCCTCCCTGTCTGGTTCTCTACTTCAGCTTTCCACAGCTTGAACTTGGCAAACGCTTCTGACTTGTGCCGCATGAAGTACACCCAGACCTTTCGTGAGTAATCATCAATGAAACTCACGAAATACATGTATCCTCCCCGTGATAGTACGCTAACTGGTCCCCAAACATCTGTATGGACATAGTCGAGAACCCCCTCTGTCTTGTGTGTGGCTGTCTTGAACTGCACCCTATTCTGTTTTCCAAGAACACAATATTTGCAAAAATTGAGCTTGCATGTCTTGACACCCTTCAATAGATTTTTCTTATGAAGCTCTATCATCCCACGCTCACTCATATGACCCAGCCGCATATGCCACAAGACTGTATTATCTGATTCAGACTCTACAGCAGCAACTCCACCTACAATTGTAGTACCCAGCAGTCTGTAAATGTTTCCTACTACTTTCTGTCCCTTCATCACTGTCAGCATGCCTTTACTTACTTTCATTACTCCACTTATAGATTTGTAACTATAACCATTACAATCCAAAGTGCCCAATGAAATCAAATTCTTCCTTAGATCCGGTACATGTCTAACATCACACAACGTTCTAACCATACCATCAAACATCTTAATTCTAATATTTCCTATTCCAACAACTTTGCAAGATGCATCATTACCCATCAGAACAGAACCAGAATTTACTGACCTGTAGGTGTCAAACCAATCTTTGTTGGGTGTCATGTGATAGGAACATGCTGAATCCATAATCCAAGAATCTGTTAAACGATCTGAACTAGATAAAACAGAAAGCATATCTCCGTCACCACTCTCTGAATCTTCTTCTTCCACTACGTTTGCAGACTTTGATGCACCCTCTTTGTTCTCTGAATCCCCTTTCTTTTTCTCTGGACAGTCCCGTTTAAAGTGCCCCTTTTTCCCGCACTTGTAACACGAGACAGAGACGTCCTTCTTCTTCTTCCTCGACTTGGACCGGGCTTTATTGTTACCCGATCCATTCCGAGATTTGCTTCTTCCACGTTCCTGGTTACCTTTCACCACAAGCCCTTCACCTTGTGAAGCCTCATCACTGACTTTCTTCCGTTGATGAAAACCTAACAGAGCACCTGTGACATCCTCCAATTCGAGGGTTTCTTTCCCCCACATCAGAGTCGTAACCAAATTCTCGTACGTAGGAGACGCCGGTAGGGAATTCAGCAACATCAGCGCCTTGTCTTCGTCTTCGAACTTCACATCAACTCGCTTCAGATCGCTGATGATCTGATTGAACACGTTGATGTGTTGGGTCAAATCCGAGCCCTCTGACATCTTAAGACCATATAGTTTCTGCTTAAGATAGAGCTTGTTCGTCAACGACTTGGACATATACCGACTTTCCAGTTTCAACCAAACTTTCGCCGGTGATTCCTCATCCATGACGTGATACATCACTTCATCAGCCAGACAAAGCCTAATAGTCACCACAGCCTTCGCTTCCAATTCTTTCCAATTCATGTCGTTCATTCCTGCCGGTTGTTTTCCGTATAATGCCTTCACCATGCCCTGCTACACTAACAGGTCTTTCACCCTCCTCTGTCATAATCCGAAATTCCCAGTTCCGTCGAACTTCATGATATCGAATTTTGTAGAGAAAATCCCAGACATCGTAGTCTAGCTCTGATACCAATTGTTGTAATCGTGCAGTAATTATGGTGAATAGTAAGGAATAAAACAATTAAAAAAGCAGGAGAAAATAACACACAGAGATTTACGTGGTTCGACAATGTGCCTACATCCACGAGAGCAAGCGACCGTTCTTTTCTATTATTAAAGTAGGGTTACATCTTAAGTATTTATATAACCCTAATATGAACGTATTTACAAAAATACCCCTGTACCGTACCGCGGGGGCATTGCCCCTGCACCCCCAACTAATCAGCGTCCCCTATATATAAATCCCACAAGGCAGATGCCGTCGCGGGCTCCGCTCCGGCATCTGCCTCCTTGCCATTATGCACACAGTAAATATGAGCCACATATACTCTAACAGCACCATTTATAAATAAATAAATAAATAAAAGTTAATAAATGGGTACAAGGCACTATACAGAAGGTGCAGCTGAGTGCAATAAGGAAGACCCCCAGCTAAAAAAAATTATGCAGGGCAACAGAAACAGGTAACAGGCACACGGTAAGCTGGAGGAAGAGCTACACAAATTACAGAGGTCAGTATTGCAAACTTAATATTCTCCAAACTGCCTATCTTGGATGATCTGCCCCAGCTGCATGTTTAGAGTTCGCTGCTCCTCGAAAGTAAGGTTCATCAATATCTACATTGACACAATTTCACAGATTTATTGAAGGGTTGAAATGGAAATCCAACATGTCCAAAAACATGTGAATACAATAGATGCGCAAGTTTACCAGGTCCAAAATCATTTCAACTGATAAGCTTTGAGACACAATGAATGACTGATGATAGATGTATGCAAACACAGACATTACCATCTGCATAACAAATGTCACATTAATCACAGCATTTAACATCCCTTTGCCACGACATTCTATTCAGATAATCAGATGTAGAATCAAATAAGCCGAGACATATGCACGTTGCATATTGCTGTCTACAAATTTTTTTATTATTATTTTTTTATCTCATTTTACCTGGCAATCCATTCTATCGGTAATCCCACCATGTCCAGGAATGCTATCACCAAAATCCTACAGCTCAAAGTGAAAAAATAAAAATAAAAATTTGCAAATAACATAACAAAAATCAAATGAACTGAACCACTTAATTCCAAAAAATTTACACAAATTCTTTTGAACACAGTGCACCTTGATCTTGAAAGCTCTCTTGAAACCACTCGCAAAGAAGCCTCCAAAAGGTGCTATAATTGATGCAAAAAGGCCAAGCCACAATGCATGCCCTTGTACTGGCAAAACAGAGATTTCTCTCCAAGGAAACTGCAAACAAAATGACAAATGATGAACCATTGAAGTTTTGCATCTACAGAATTTCCTAAAAACCTTGGGCTTATCTTCCATTGTGGCTCTTAATAGCTAATATTGCAGATCATATTATGTTCCCACCTCTAAATAATTTAGAAAGCCAGGCTGAATTGATTGATATGCAAACTACTAACATGAAGTGTTCAAAGAATGATTTTTGATATTTTTAATATGTTCCAAGAGTGAGGAGTTCAATACGATATTCTTGACAAAAATGCCATTGTACCTTATGTGTTAGCTTAAGATACAAAATTACCTAATGTTTATTCCTAAATATATCTTATAATAGTTCTATTCTAATACTTTATGTTCACTACAATCTAAAGGCTTGGCAGGTTTGTCTATGTCGAATCAATTAGAACAAGCCAAGTTCGGACTGTAGTTTTTCATCCCTTTTAGCTGTCACCAACTGGAAAATCAACAAATTGCCATTCTAGTCACAAGGGACAATCTACATTATCAAGTTTCCTCAACTGAACAAAACCATGACCCCAACAACTTAGTATTGGCTTAAATACATTCTGAGTTTCAAAAATTTGAGAATAACTGAAAAAGCACACCTAAATTAGGGAACCAAACAATTTTATTAGCATAATTTCTATACAACTGCAAAATGCATTCAGTTTGTGTGTTTAAACCAAATAAGCTAAAGAAGTCAATGTTGACATTTCAAAGATTTGTTACAATGCATAACTTTGAAGCATCCATATATAATATGAGGTTAACATCTATGGCATGGACTCAACTGATCACTATACTAGTGGGAAAATGACAATGAATCTATCATTAATTGTATCAAAAAAAGACAATCACTCGACAATTAATTGTACAATTTAATCAATATAACAGAGCAAACATCTTGTGTATCAAGTAAAGAAAATTTCATCATTCTAAAGCCAGATACTTGAGAAAAAAATGGTGCATGTCAATCCAGATATAATGGGAAGTCCAGTTACCCATTGAGGAATCCATCCAGGTAAAATGACATACTCCGGTCTAAACAATGGACCAGGATCACAATGAAGCCAACCAGTTGATAAATCCTGCATGTGCCATTGTCACAGGGATGTTGAGTTAAGTTTTTTCAGAAACCAGCAAACATGGCTTCACAAACAAAAATGACATAAATTTAAGCGAAAAAGGATCACCTTCCTAGGACATGTTAGCCACTGAAAACGACCTAAAATATTTGCAAGCTGCATAAAAAAGTGAACAGATAATCACAATCTTATAGATGCATATGATATGACCGAATCTAAGTAAAATTATACAGGGAGTGCAATATGAATTATGAAGAACTTATGGCACCCTCATTAGTCAAATCCACAGAAAATTGCTATAAGATTAGGAAGCTCCGCTGAGAGTTGACATTGGAACCACAAACGGTAAAAGCCAAATTATCAAACTAGGTTTACTAAGAAAATAATACCAAAAATAAAAAGCTTTCCTACCATGACTCAGCAGCTAATATAGATAAAAAGATTGTCAGCATCATTTCTGTAAAAAAAGATAGACTGCTCACCACAAATGCAGAGATAATAGTTGTAACAGATGCTCCAATGAAGCCCTCCCAAGTTTTCTTCGGGGATAACTTGATCAAAGGAGTTCGTCCAAAGAAGAACCCGAAAAAATAAGCAGCAATATCATTGATTACAATAAGTGATGCTGGAAGAAGAAACCTGTGTCATACTTGGACTGTGTCAGAAGTTCTTTTTTCACATTCTATTTTTTGTAGGATGGTGATGTTGTAAATGTTCTCCAATATCAGTTCTCTTGCACAACACATTTATATTTCACCCACCAACAACAATAGGGAGGAAAGAAAGAACTTAAAATGCCAAAATTTTCACAACCAAGTTGCATAAAGAACTTATTCAAAAGTCTAGAAATACACTATGCCGTAATACATAATTGTTTTTACACATACGAAGGTATTCTCCCCCTAGGAAAGAAAAGGAATTAGAGTATCTCGGTTACCAACTTCTAAAAAAGGATACAAAAAGGGCCATTGCCAGTTTCCCTCAAATTAATCTCAAGAGACTACGAAATCTAATTCTTTCACCGTTAGCGTAAATTCCATTCACCATAGGGAAGGAATTGAACCACATATCTTGAACATATTCCAAAATTAATGATTCTTTAAACTGAATTAGACACTCTAGAAGAGATGATATAAGAGGGGAGAGAGAGGCATTTCGGGGGGGACTCCAAGGAGCAGTTTGGTGGTTGGAGGTACCATATCAGTATCAGAGAACACTTGAGCAACAGTGGATACAACTTACAGGCCAGATATTGAGAAAACAAACAAAGTCACAATGAAATTTCAAAGTGCGTTACCAGAAAATTCCTTCAAAAATGTTGGCTACTGTAAAAGAGGACTGCGTAAACACCACAATTAGAATCATGTGCGTCCATGCATATTGGCCAAATTGATACTTGTACCTCTTCTTCTTCAGTGTAAGAATGAACCACATAAAACCTGAGGCCAATTAGGAAAGACAATAATATTTAGTCAAATCCCCAATGCATCACAAATGACTTCAAAAAAGAACTCTAGTAAATAACACCAGCAAGCTTATTAAAAGCCAGTAATATCGCAAGCACTGATACTCTGAATAATAAATTCACAGGAAACATTGCATAAAGCAACACCAATTCCATTTCTAATGGACATCCTCTGCATATCAGATATGGATAATTAGGCATACAAGACGCTACTTATCATCAAGTTTCCTCCAAACAACTGATACAATTGTAGAACATAACATAAGAACCAACCTGCGATATACAAGAAATAACACATGACCATATGATATTTGATGAATCCGCTCACAAGCTGATAGAGAAATTTGTCCAAAGTAACAGTGTTCACGAGCCGTTGACTGAGAATGCGGCCGTATACAAACAGCATAGCAGTGAAGAAAAAGTGCCTGGAAACAGAAATTTTGAATAACAGGAAGTGACAAAAAATGTAATTGAAAAACAACAAGGTCACTTGGTCGCCATCAAGTACGATTACAATACTTTGCAAGCTATTTGAGAAACCAGAAGAAAAGGATAGACACGGATAAGTAGATTGGGTTTTGCTTACCAATTTAGTAGCCTAAATCCAGGGAGGTGACTGTCTTCATGTGCTTTCCTGAGCAGATTGAACAACTCTCTTGCCATGAAAATTTGGATAACAATGACCATGGCCATAATATAGAGATGACCCATGTAGATTATGAGGGTTAAGCTCCCAATCATCCAAATAGATGAATACACACGGATCAACATTGACTGGTATTTGCTTCGATCATTCACAAGTAAATGGCTTCCATTTTCTTTGCCAACCTCAGAAGGAACCTGGCATCCAAAAGCACAAAGGACAAAAAAAGTTGTAAAAAGTTATTGAACCCTCAACTCTCCAGACAAGCTGATACAAGATTTAAGACTGTTTACATTCACTTTTACCTAGTAGCTAACCATGACAGGCTTAATGTGATCATGACTAATTCTGTTATTATGTAGAGAAACATTACTGATGTAACTATGATGCCTAGTTAAAAACCACCCAAGCACCAACTACCAAAAAGTTACTTTTTTCAAATTGTACTATGTAACAAGTCAAAAACCTTTCTAGGCAACAATACAGAGTTGCAACCAACTAGGACAACTAAAACATGAATGCATGATATTGGGCCCAAACCAAAAGTTACCTCATTTGAACCTCTACGGCGACGAAGACGTCCTGTAGGTGTTGCTGGGTTACCTGAAACACTATCCTTTTGCATGGCTCCACAATTAACTCTACACTCAACTAAGAAGATACATATAAATATGCATGCACTGTGCTCCCCTGAGAATAAAGAAAGAAATGCAAATATCTATGAGAGGATAATGACATTGTCAATCACTTGCTACATTTAGAGAAAAATAGGGCAATAATAATATTGAGGCACAATGGTCCCACTAAAAGAAACTTATATGGTGCAGAATGCTAATAAGAGCTACACAAACGCACATTTATCAATTATCACTTGCTTTTTGATAAGACATTTAGAAATTATCAGTGAAGAATATGTTGCTGCACAAGCAGTCATATTTGAGGGACAAAGAAATAAAGTCCATGAAACACGGCTCGGGTAAACTTATTCTTCTACTTATAGAGCACACTTCAAAGTTGCACAATTACATTTGAAGAAGGAATCAATGGAGGATTGCTCACTAACCTCAGCTCTATGAGCTAACATATAGCATTGCAAACTTCAGATGTTCTATAGCAAGGCGCTGAAGCACATGAGCAAGAATGCTTATCAAAACAGGAAAGAATCATGTTTCACCCAGAAATTATAAGCCCGTCCATAAAATTTCTCAGAGGCATGAAACTTCAATGCCAATTACTATTAGCGTTGGAGACTTTCACAAAATTTTGAAGTTCTTAATCGACATAAACTCGCAATTCACTTACAATTCCAACTTAAAGCATTTCCATACATCTAAAGATTTGAATATATCCACAAAATCTGTGTTCGCGGGCGTGTGGCAATGAATCTCAAAAAATTGTCCTGGACATAAATGAGTAATCAAAATTCAATCCTATTGTAAAACTTAGAGACAGTACTTACGTTCAAATATAGATAGACGAAGGCTAGCCCTAGCCTGCACATCAAAAACCACAACAACATGAAACAAACATCGATACATACACACATACATATATATATATATATATATATATATATATATATACAGAGGAAGTTATAGTGTGAGAGACAAAGGGAGACCTGGTTTAGTTGAGCTGGGAAGCTTCGAACTCTTGGGAAGAGAGAAGCTAAATGAGAGAAGAATATTTATTGCAGCGTCGTGAAGAGGCAGAAGAGAAGTGTTTGTTACTGCTTCGTTTACAACATCTATCTATGCAAAAACAAATCTGGAATTTTCTCTTTCTTGGATGCACGAAAAGCATAAATAGAGAGATGTTCTCTGTACTATCTATTCGATGAGTAATTTCTCTAAAATGGAAGGGTTTTACAAACCTAACCGGTGAGCTCCTAGGGTCATATCAACCAATTAGGGTGGTTAGGTCTTACACGTGGTTTACGATGACAAATTTTTATTCTAATTTTTTTTTTTGGGGTCCAGACCAGCTAACGGCCCAAGGAGACCATTCCAGCCACAGCACTTTCAAATATCTACATTTCCGCTTCATGACCCAATAGACCGTTGAGCTAATGGACTAACCCACAAATCATGGGCTTTTCAAATGGCATGGATTGAAATACCTACATATCCACTTCATTACCCAATAGACCGTTGAGCTAATGGGCTAACCCACAAATCATAGGCTTTTCGAATGGCATGGATTGGAAACTTGAATAACAATTTTTTCTTTGTCACTATTTTGAACTTGGGAAGGGACGGTGAAGTTCAAGGTCACGATCTAACGATCCCATCAGCAGAATAGCTAATCCTCGAATAGCCACTTTCAAAACATTTGGAAATCACAGAAGAAAACTCATGTTCTAGAAGTGCATTTATGACTCTAATTTAAAAGTAAAAAGTCATTTTCTTACCAACCAGCCCGCTGCTACCGTGTGTCCTATTTGCTGGAAAGCAAAGAAAGAGAGGTTCCATTCGCTTTCTACNTGGAGGTGAAAAGCATGGAGGAGGAATATCTGTCGTGTGATGTAACTAATCCCATCAAGATGTACATGGACGGCTTAGATATAATCGCTCTTGTCGGAGAAGGAATCCGCTACTTCGCGAGTGGGAACCTCGAGAGCTGCAAAAACGGGTTGAAGCTACACGTGGAAGTGAAGCCACCAGAGAAAAATGAAGGCCAGATGGCGTTGGCAGATGGGCCCACCCCTTCTATATCAGCCCAACATAGTGGGCTTTCTTTTCTTTTTGTTGTTGGGCTGTTGGTTTGCTTCTATATGAGCGGCCCAGTATTAATGTAGTGTAAGGCTTTGTTCGATGCTTGTGTAAATGTTCTGTGGTACACTGTATGCTGTATTTTCTTATCTATTGGTTGTTGGGTTGTTCGTTTGCTATGTGAGCCTCTAGAAACAACTTGTATATGCGGCCCAGTATCGTAATGTAAGGCTTTGTTAGCTGCTTGTGCTAAATGTTCTGTGGTAGCTTGTATGCTGTATTGGTAATTGGGTTTTGTCCAATTATTTTAGCATGTACTAACTGGCAACATTGGCTAGTAGATGCAATATGGCTAAGAAATTATTAGGAACTACTTACTGTGATGTTGTTGTCCTTTTGTTTGCATGAATGAAGCTGAGAATGGCCATTTTCATGAGGAGATTCATTTCATGTGAATTTTGCTAAAGGCGCATTGGCTCGGGTCAAGTCACATTTGGATTATATCATTTTAAGTTTTATGTTGTATTTGTTATAGTAGGAAGTCATGGAATTGTAAAATAACGTATACAATACTGACTGAAAAATAAAAAGAGTATATGCTTTTTTTACCATACCAATTCAATGTGTTATGAATGCCTCATACCAGGTTGATGGGGATAGGTTGAATGTGAGAGTCCGAATAATGCCATGTTCGAAGTTCTAAGTTTGATAACCTTATGTCTGATTCATCAATTGTTGAAATAAAATTACGTACATCAAACCATTTTTGATTTCCAAAGCCTTTTTTTTTGGGGGTGGGGGTGGAATCTCTGACTAGTCTTTTGCGAGATAAAGGCAACTTAGTGGCTCAAGCTTATGAGTCTGAGTAGAACTGAGGGCAAACTTTGAGTGTATGAATCAGTCTCTCAACTCATACACCAGTTAAATTAGAACTTACTCTTCGGTAGAAATTTAAACCTATACTAAAGACTTGGATGTAATTCATCTAAACAATTGAGATCCGTTTTATCCACTAATCACACTTTTATCGTCAAAGAAACTTCAACTCATAAGAGCATTTAAATGAAATTGCTCAACATATTCATCAGTACTATCAGATTGGCAGTAAATTTTTCAAATATTAGTGAAGTGGATTTACCTTTATTGGGTTTGAACTTGTGAAACTCTCTCGTGGCGAAATCTGTGCCGAAATACAGTGGGCCCCTGAAACTAACGGGCAGCGGTCTCGACACCTTTCGCGTGATACGGGCCAAGATAATTCAACATCCACACCACACCGTTACTCCAATCAAACTCTCGCTCTCTCTCTCTCTCTCTCTCTCGACTGTCACTTTCCCTTTCTCTCGTTGTTGACCATGAAAGCCTCTGGAAGTCGCAGAGCTCGATTCTACTCTTCCTCCGCCACAACCACCACTGTCACTTACACGATTCAAAATGAACACTCTAGCCCTCAGACCAAAACCGAAACCACCCAAATCCCCGTCGAATCCCCCTCCGATGAACCACCTATCCCCATCACCGTCCACGTTTCTACCCAATTCCAAGCACGGGAATCTTTAGCTGCTCTTAAAATCCAAGCTGCCTACCGATCTTACATAGTCCGTAACCTCGTCAAGAAGATCTCAGCCGTCAATTTTGAAGCTAATCTCTTACAACGCCTCATCCAACGCCAGGTATGTTCATTCAATATCACTATGTTTGTGATTTTCTCTCTCCAAATATGCAAGTTTTAAGATTCTAGTACTTACCTTAGAGTGATACTTTCGTAGAATTACATAATTGTCCGTCTCATTTCTGCAATTTACTCCTAGTGATATAATCCATTGATAAGTTGAACTTTTTCTATTTTTCTCGATATTCTATTGTAGGAGACAGTTGATGCTGTAAGGACCAATGAGAGGGAGAGGATCAAGATCAACGAGGCTTTAATGGGCTTGTTGCTGATGCTGGACTCAATACCTGGGGTTGATCAGACAGTGAGGGAGCTGAGGAGACACATGAGCCGTCGGATCGTGGGGTTGCAGGAGATTTTAGATTCAATTTCGGACGCAAGAGTGGAGAGTTGGGATGGGTTTCTGAGGGAGTGGGATGATGCCCTAGCGGGGATTGAGAAGGAGGTTTGTAGAGAGAGAGGAGGTGGGCATGAAATGGAGAGGTTTTGCGCTGAGAATTTGGGATTTCGGTGCTTGCAGAGGTTTCTTCGTGAGCAATGATGCTATCATGTTAGAAACTACTCCTTGTCAATACCTATGAATGCTTTATTTTGTTTTTTATTTGTTTTTTTTTTTTTTTTGTTGCATAGGTGAAAGGTTAAATTACACTAAAATGTTTATGGTGCTTTTCATTATTTTATTTACCAACTCTAACTGCTGCAAAGGTGTAGTTGCAGTATCTGTATAATATACTGGTTTAAAAAGCAAAATTTTGTTTTGATTTGAATAGAAACGTTTTGAGTTGTTTGGAAAATAGAATAAAAATTAATAAAAAATTGAGACTTATTTTTTTAAACTCGTAGTTGAAATATACTGTAGTATCTTAAAACACCTTGAATTATTCTGAAATAATTATGTAAATGCATCGAAACATTCAGATATTTCTATTGTTGAGTTTCCGGCCTAGTTTAACTCTGGTGGAGTGGCGTTCTATGCAATAAAACTCCTTGAATTATGAAAATTTTTATTTTATTTTTGATTCATTTTGATCTTCTGAAATAGGAAAATGTTTAGAATGATATGTTTTGTAATCTAGCCACATCATGGGGGTTTTATTCANTTAGTGTCGGTTGGATCCAAATCTTCCCTAGTATTGCTTCATTCAATTTTCTCCGGCATATACTCGTGTTAATTGAAACGAGTTATTCGGATTTAGTTCAAACTCAGCCTGTATTTTAAATAAGTTGAGTTTGAACAATTATTTAAGTTTGTCTCGACTTGAGCTCATAAAACTCAATTTATTTATACGTAAAATACTCGTGCTACTTGAGTTTGACTCGGATTTGGGGTCAGTTTATTTTCTAAACAAGTCAAGTTTGAAATTTTTTTAAAATTTATTTAAAAAAGTAAGTTCGACAGGCTCGAAATCAAACTCGACTCAATTAATACCCTTACCCGTTGTGTGTGAATGACGACTCGCTTATATATATTGAGTTCCATTTAAATTTAATGGCATGAGATATATCATTAAAAAAATTGAAGAAATATCTATTAGAAAATATCTCACTACAATTCCTACAAATTCTCTCCCATCAATATTCTGTACAAAAAAGAAGTTACGGCCCTAATAGGATTCAAATTCCCTTTTAATACATTTTTTAAAATTATTTTTTTTTTTGGCATATCATACATTATTATTAATGAGTTAAGAATTCACTATTAATAAGTGAGGGGACTCACTCTTATTTACAATGAATCCTGTATAAATGCATGATAAATGATATGCTAAAAGTTGGAAAATGTAAAACCAAAATCTCTTTAAAGCATTAGTATAGTTATCGAGTTTCTTATTAAATTTTTCATACCAAATGATAGTGACATAATTTGTATTATTAAATATTAATCAAAATTATTTATCTAATGATAAAAATTATATCACATCACTTAAAATAAAAAAATTTAATAAGAAATCTTGGTCAACATAATAATGTTAACATTATTATAAGTATATTGGGTTGGTGAAATCATTTATGAGCAGTAGGTCACAGTATCTATTCAATGGTTAAAATTATTAAATTTAATTTTTAAATTTATTTTTTAATTCTATTTAATATTACTCTTTCCTCTAAAAAGGTGTAAATGTGGTGCGTACAATATTTCAAACAAATGTAAATTGAAGTTGGCGTTATTCCAACGACTACAATGAAATCACAATTTTACCCTACAGTATACTCGGCTTTAGAAGTTTTGAATGCCATTGCCAAAGCCCTGCCAATATCCTTCAAGAAGGCGCCAACCGCCGCTAACTCTTCCAACGATCTCGCATCAGCTTTACACCGTAACAATGGTGGAAGAAACAACCAAAAACCGGTGGCCATCACAAATCCAAGAGTTAAGGCGATGGAGACAATCCTCGGCGGCTGCAACCGGCCGGAAAGTTCCTTCTTGACTGCAATCTCCGTCATCAAACAAAACCCATGGAGCACGAAGAACCATGTGACTTCCCAAGTGGGCCTCATGCCCCCCATGTAGAAAAAAATGAGCTCATGCATCAGAGCAGAAGTTATGAAGGTGCACAAAATTGCTGGAAGTGAGGCCCATTGTCGGCCCAAGATTCTAGTGAAGATGTTGTGGACAGGTTCATATATGGTAGGGTGTAGGATACGGGTGGCCATGAGGTTCCATCTTCGACCCCAAAACTCTTGTAGGGATGTTGAGAGGTATGGCTCATTAAATTGTGGTTCAAGTTCTGCTCCAATTAGGGCTCGAGCCAGGGCTGCTAATAGCGCTAGTATGATCTCCAGAGACAAATATATGTGCAAGATATATACGATCAATAAGACATTTGGATGTATATAATCACTGTAGTCATAAACTTTCAACAACAAGGCGAAAAGAAGAACCTTTATGGCATAATTCAGAGGTGATATGTGGCCTTTTTTGTTGGCATTGGGAGATGGGTTTTCTTTGATATGCATATTTTGAGGTTTTTGTGGAGAATTTGGAGGTGGGTTTTGTTGGATCTTGATGGGGAGACAAGCGACGGCCACAAACTTTGGGAGAGGGAGAGTAGGGTCAGATAGAGGGCCTTTACCAAAGGTAAAGAGGAGGAGTTTGAAGTTTGAGAGCCAAGCTATAAAGAAAGATGTCATTCCTCCAAGATGCATGGTGTGAAGGTTCAGAGGCAGGGCTAGAAAGAGGCATACCACTGGGAAGATTACAAGGAGTCTTCTTGCACCTTTGGATACAATCTTGCCAGAGACATAGCAGTAGGAGAGAGATAAGAAGACAGAAAGCCAAACCTTGATGAAGTTGTTGATCTCTCCTTCCATCCAATATCTCAGAACGTTTTTGATGTCTTCCCCTCCCTCCATTTTTCTCCTTCAGTAATTTCTCTTTCCTTTGTGTTTTGGAGCCCTTCTTTTCAGGGTAGGGGTTGGAGACTTGGAGTTGGATCATTTTTTTTATTTTTCAAAGGCTGGGATGGTTTTGCACCCATTTACTCCTCAACTACTATTTGTGTGGAGAGCAATGAAGTCCGAGTAAGGTCTAGAATTCTCCTGGGGTGTGTTTGGATAATCGGGCATGGATAGGAATAAATAGAATTTTTTGTGTCCTAACTCATCTCACTCAAACCCACTCAAGCATTTAATTGGATGGGTTATATATGTCATCCAACTCAAGCCATTGTTTGACAAGAACAATTGAATTGGATAGATTTCATCTTGACTTTTATTGACATTTATCACTATACCCATTAAAATGAAGACCATAAAAACTAGAAAATTGGGGAAGTTTTGCATAGATAGAGAAAGCACAGGAGTAATACCCACCACCATCGCCACAACAGAAACACTGAAGACTACCACCACTGTCACAACAAAAACACCCACCACCCTCACAACAGAAACACTCACCACCATCACCACAAAAATGATTCAAATCTGAAAAACTGAGAGGAGAATTAGGGTTTCAAAATCACCCACCATCACATCAGATCTGAGAAATTGAGAATTTAGGGTTCAAAATCATCCACCATCGTGGTGGTGTGGGTGACTGTGAACAATCGAGGTTAGGGGTGGTATAGGTGAAGTTCTCTTCTTCATTCGGTCCACTCAGGCACCCAATCCATCCCAACAAAATCGTTGGGCTTTGGCTTCGGNAATACCTATGAATGCTTTATTTTGTTTTTTATTTGTTTTTTTTTTTTTTTTTGCATAGGTGAAAGGTTAAATTACACTAAAATGTTTATGGTGCTTTTCTTTAGTTTATTTACCAACTCTAACTGCTGCAAAGGTGTAGTTGCAGTATCTGTATAATATACTGGTTTAAAAATCAAAATTTTGTTTTGATTTGAATAGAAACGTTTTGAGTTGTTTGGAAAATAGAATAAAAATTAATAAAAAATTGAGAATTATTTTTTTAAACTCGTAGTTGAAATATACTGTAGTATCTTAAAACGCCTTGAATTATTCTGAAATAATTATGTAAATGCATCGAAACATTGCAAAACGTTTCACATTAAGATATTTCTATTGTTGAGTTTCCGGCCTCGTTTAACTCTGGTGGAGTGGCGTTCTACGCAATAAAACTCCTTGAATTATGAAAATTTTTATTTTATTTTTGATTCATTTTGATCTTCCGAAATACGAAAATGTTTAGAATGATATGTTTTGTAATCTAGCCACATCATGGGGGTTTTATTCATGAAAGGAGCCATGGCGAGTGGAGCAATTATGTATTAGCATTAGGTAACCCTGGATTTGGAGGTGGTAGGACACAACGGNAACAAGGCGAAAAGAAGAACCTTTATGGCATAATTCAGAGGTGATATGTGGCCTTTTTTGTTGGCATTGGGAGATGGGTTTTCTTTGATATGCATATTTTGAGGTTTTTGTGGAGAATTTGGAGGTGGGTTTTGTTGGATCTTGATGGGGAGACAAGCGACGGCCACAAACTTTGGGAGAGGGAGAGTAGGGTCAGATAGAGGGCCTTTACCAAAGGTAAAGAGGAGGAGTTTGAAGTTTGAGAGCCAAGCTATAAAGAAAGATGTCATTCCTCCAAGATGCATGGTGTGAAGGTTCAGAGGCAGGGCTAGAAAGAGGCATACCACTGGGAAGATTACAAGGAGTCTTCTTGCACCTTTGGATACAATCTTGCCAGAGACATAGCAGTAGGAGAGAGATAAGAAGACAGAAAGCCAAACCTTGATGAAGTTGTTGATCTCTCCTTCCATCCAATATCTCAGAACGTTTTTGATGTCTTCCCCTCCCTCCATTTTTCTCCTTCAGTAATTTCTCTTTCCTTTGTGTTTTGGAGCCCTTCTTTTCAGGGTAGGGGTTGGAGACTTGGAGTTGGACCATTTTTTTTATTTTTCAAAGGCTGGGATGGTTTTGCACCCATTTACTCCTCAACTACTATTTGTGTGGAGAGCAATGAAGTCCGAGTAAGGTCTAGAATTCTCCTGGGGTGTGTTTGGATATATTTGGATAATCGGCATGGATAGGAATAAATAGAATTTTTTGTGTCCTAACTCATCTCACTCAAACCCACTCAAGCATTTAATTGGATGGGTTATGTATGTCATCCAACTCAAGCCATTGTTTGACAAGAACAATTGAATTGGATGGACTTCACCTTGACTTTTATTGACATTTATAATTGTACCCATTAAAATGAAGACCATAAAAAACTAAAAAATTGGGGAAGTTTTGCATAGATAGAGAAAGCACAGGAGTAATACCCACCACCATCGC